TGAGACTTTTTTGTGCTCTACATTTTACTTATTTTTTTCTGGCTTTGCAGAGGGAACGGAACTTGTTTGATACAAGTTTTCTTTTCTTGGGGAAAATGTATTAGGAGGCACATCTTAAAACCAGATCATCTAACTCTCCTGAACTTCTTCACATCATCTATCTATCATCTATCTATCTATCTATCTATCTATCTATCTATCTATCTATCTATCTATCTATCTATCTATCTATCTATCTATCTATCTATCTATCTATCTATCTATCTATCTATCTATCTATCATCTATCATCTATCTATCTATCTATCTATCATCTATCTATCATCTATCTATCATCTATCATCTATCTATCTATCTATCTATCTATCTATCTATCTATCATCTATCTACTGTATATCTATCTATCTATCTATCTATCTATCTATCTATCTATCTATCTATCTATCTATCTATCTATCTATCTATCTATCTATCTATCTATCTATCTATCTATCTATCTATCATCTATCATCTATCTATCTATCTATCTATCTATCATCTATCTATCTATCTATCTATCTATCGATCTATCTATCTATCTATCTATCTATCATCTATCTATCTATCTATCTATCTATCTATCTATCTATCTATCTATCTATCTATCTATCTATCTATCTATCTATCTATCTATCTATCTATCTATCTATCTATCTATCTATCTATCTATCTATCTATCTATCAGCAGTAAAGAGTTACAGCAACATGTCACAAATGTCACACAGAAACTTTTAATTATAATTAATGTAAAATTATTTTAATTCCATCTAGGGGTGGGTAATATTACATCATTCACAATATTACGAGTAATTTTTTGCCAAGAAAAAAAAAGTCTATCACGTTACTGTAAGCTAACTTTATGATGTAATTGCATCCACCAAACAGAGAACCAAAGCCTACTGGTTGTGCAGCGCACCAGGCTAAAGGTCAAAGGTGACAGATCATTTGCTGCTGTGTCCCCCAGACTCTGGAACTCTCTCCCCCTGAGCCTGAGATCAGTGGACTCAGTGGTCTCCTTTAAAAAGCAGCTGAAAACTCACCTGTTCAAGCTGGCTTTTGCGTGACCTTCATCACCCTCTCCTTATTCTGTTCTTTCTACTTATGGCTTTCCCAGCGATCCAGAGAGTTCCCTCTTTCCTATTCATTTTCTCTCTCTCCCTTTCATCACATTATTATTTTTTAATCACAATTCAAATTTTTTGTTCTCATTTTGAACATATTTTTAGTAATTTTTAAAATCTCTTTTATACTTTAATAGTTGTTTTTGTTTGTTTGTTTTTTTTTTTTTTTGTGAAGCGCCTCACGATTTCTATCTTGAGAGGCGCTATATAAAAGATCGTTTTCTTTCTTTCTTTCTTTGCCCGTCCCGTCAACCACGGGGGAAGCTCACCGCTCCGCCCACCCACCTCACAGCCAAGCTATAGACAATCTAGCTATGAGCTAACTTAGCTAGCCTAAGCTATAGACGATGTAGCTATGAGCTAACTGAGCTAATCCAAGCAAACATAGGTTGACGGGTAGCCTAGTGAACTAGACCAAATTCTTACATAATACATTTATTTAGTCTGGCTTGCCAGGCTAGTTGACGGGTACTTTTTCCTAGAAAACTGCAGTTGAGTGACTCTGCTACCCACTGCCTTCCTGGCTGTAACACTTTTAATGCGAGGCGGCGGCTGACAACTCATCCACTTACAGCTAATTTTGTTTTTGTTAAAGCTGTATTAGCCGTATTGAATCAGTTCGGATCTATTTAATCTGTTAATCACGAACAAATGTTTTCTAAAATCTGTTAAGTGGTTAATGAGGTATTTAACAAAAACACACATGTGGTGGTGGTGGTTGTGTGTGTGTGTGTGTGTGTGTGTGTGTGTGTGTGTGGTTGGGCGGGGGGGTCAGTGGTCATTAGGCCTCATTTTCATAAAGATCTCCCTCATTCAAGTAAAGATAGAAATAGTGAAAGAGCCATAACTTCCATGAGAAAAACTACAACCCTGCATCTTGCGTCATTCCATCAATATCAAACTGATACTAATGGAAAAAAAACAGTGATTTAAAACACAGAACAACCTAAATAAGACCAGGAGACAAACCGGAAAAGCTTGAGAAAAAGGCTGAAGTTCTCACACTGGAAAATAACAACTCACCTAAAATAAAGTGCCCGAACTCGAGTGTTTTTTTTTTCCATATCTTTATGGCAAAACAAATCCTTTTTACAGTGGAGCAGGTCCAGGAAGTGTTGTACTTTTAGCCATCATCCAAAACATATTTACACTCCTGCTTTGCTTTGGCAGGAAACACACATCCTTAGATATTCTTGGAATACCACGTAGTCTTAGCTTCCTAATGTGGAGAAAGGTGATGGGGATCGGCTCTATTGAACAGTCGTTTAGAAGGTTTTGATGATTTCACCTGAAAAACCAGAGGCTTCATTTTTGTATTTCTGTTTTGTTTTCTTAGCTCTTGTTCAGTGAGGGCTGTTCTTCACTAGACAAATGTGAGGCTACAGCATTTGTGTAAACATGTAACTCAATATCTGGTCAAAGCTTTTAAAAGCTTTTGTTTTTACCAGCTGTGTTCGCTGAACCCTCTGTGACCGTCACCAAACAATCCCAGCGAACCAGAATGTTGTCAAACACTAAAAGGAATTCTTTGTTTTCTTTGAACTACAATTTCAAGAGTACTGAATGTAATATTTATATCTCTGTGTCTTGTTGGACAACATGGATAAATATGTAGATAAATATCTGCTGGAACACATCTTGATTCACTGCAGCGTTTCATCTGTTGTAGAAAAAAAATCTGATCATTTAAAAGCACTGCTCTGAAATTAAAGCTTTGTGTAAAAATGGCAGAAAATGATGGTTTGCGTCCCCAAACCAGATGTTGAAACATCTGAGTCAGTGTGCAGGAGATGGCATAACATCAGCATTTATGAGAGATGCTAAAGAAGCACAACTACTTAAGCTTTTACAGTTTTCCTTCATTGCAGCGGTCTCTAATAGGAATGAGTGCCTTGTAAGTTGTACTCTGGGGAAGAAAGCTTCGGTGCGTCAGTTTCAGCACGGAGGATTCAGCTAGAGGAGAAAGTAGCTTCAGACAGCAGGATCTGGACTCATTTCCTGATATGTGGACATCTCTCCTCTGATTGGCTAACAGCAACACAACTCTACCACTGACTACTCTGCAATGTTGATTTTTTAATCTCCACAAATGAGAGTGAGTACATGGGACCAAATGTATTATTTTTAAGAGTACATTCTACTCTATTTGAGTAAAGTGTACTCAGCTTGAGTAAAATTAACTCCATTAAAAATCCACATTACCTAAAAACCAAACAATAAAAATAAGTCTTCAAGTGGGAGCTCGTTCCATAGTGTTGGAGCTAGGACAGAAAAGGCCCTATCACCTCTTGTTTTTAACCTTGTTCTTGGGACGATGAGCAAATCTTGGTTAGCTGAGTGAAGAGAGAGCATAGGGGCATGCATCTGAAGCAGCCCAGCCAGATATGGTGGGGCGCCACCGTTGATGGACCGAAAGACGAACAACAACACCTTAAACTTTGCCCGGCAATGCACAGGGAGCCAGAGTAGGGAAGCCAGGTCAGGAGCAATGTTTGTTGTTTTGTCCGAGCCTGTCAGAAATATAGCTGCCGAGTTAACCATTAGCATTAGCAACTCCACCTCACAGCAGAATTCCTTCTGACTTGTGGCATTTATGGAGGTAAAACATCAATGTTGCAGAGCCAACAGAGTCAGTGGAGTTGTGTTGCTGTTAGCCAGTCAGAGACAAGTTGTCATGTGAGAAAATAAGACACCAAATCCTGCCGTGTTCCGCTCAACTGTAATGTGGCTCAGTTTTTGATCCTGAAACAGACGCACTGGAGCATTTTCCCCCCGGGTTCAACTTACAAGACTTTCATTCCTACTAGAGGCCACTGTAAATGTATTAAAATATGAAACAAGTTGACCTTTAAGTCTCAGTCAAGTTGAGTTTTATGGTCATCCCACTACACGTAAGGACATACAGTGGAATGAAATGTTCCCCACACGCCCACAAAATACCAGAAGAAGAAAATACAAACTATGAATATGAAAATAATTACACTCTGTAAATACTGCCCATGCAATGCTACATATAAATACTCTTGATGTGCAAGAAATGCTGTAGATGCTTAAATCACCCACTGCCCCCTGACTCATGCAGCTTTTCTCTCCGCTCTGACAGGTTTAAACTCCTTTGTGTTTGTGAGCAACACATCACTTACAGCTAAAGCTATTTATTGAGCAACATGCAGCAATTCAAACTGGACTTATGAGGGTTAACACCCACCACGACACTCACAGCTTGCGTGGTGCGAGCTACTGTACATCATGTTGTTGCACACGGCCGATTCATTCAGTTGTTGTGTAGTGTGGTCTGAGGGCTGCACATGTAGCTGAGTCGCTGATTCTCCGCAGTGACGCATTTGGTTACAAAGCCACTTTGATGCTGCTTCTGACAGGCTGGGTAAACACACACTTACACGCAACAGAGTGTGATGCTCCCGCTGTAGGATTACGCAGGTAAACCGGTGACTTCACTCTGCGGCTGGTGGCTAATTCCCTCTAAAAGAGGCTTGCAGAGGATGGTTGTGGACTGATCAGGAGAATGTCTACTGCAGCGTAAGAGAGGTCATCACAGCAGGTGTTTACACCAGCCCAGATGGCCAGATATTTGTTGTTCTAGAAGAACTTTTGCGTTTTACTCCACATGGTCACCGTGCAAGAGCAAAGGCTTGTTCCTCTGTGGGTTTAAGCAGCGGAGAAGATTAAACAGGGACAGAGGTTATGTAAGAGTAAAGAATATGCAAAAATGTTTCTGGATGTCAACGGAAAAGAAGTAAGGAAATTTTCCACCTTTTGTTGTTTGTGTGTGTTTGTAAGTAATTCCAACATTTGTATGTTTTCACTGTTTATTCCGCAGGTTTCAGCCACAGAAGAGTGTGTAGGACCCATGAGACTGACCAAGGAGCCAATTCAGGTAATTAATGGACACTTTTATATTGATTAAGAATCTGCAGCAGATGTAAGGAGTTTTAGTGAGAAAGTAAGAAATGTGCAAACTAGTGTTTGTGTGTTTCATTTACACCTCTTGTTGTTTTTGTTAAACTCTTTTAATTGTCAACAATGCAGAATACTTTACATCTAAACACACAGATTCAGATGCTCATGACACAGAACTATAGGATAAATAGAGTTAGCATCAGTGTCCTTTTACTGTTGGAGGTAATGTATGTAAACTATTATTGTAGAGGCTGATTATTTTAAATAAGAACCACATTTGCATATTAAATGTATTTTAAGTTTATTAATGTTGAGATGAAGTAAGACATAGCTTTTGATTGAGAGAGAGAGAGAGAGAGAGAGAGAGAGAGAGAGAGAGAGAGAGAGAGAGAGAGAGAGTCTAAAAATATGATCGTTTTATTCCACCGTGACTGGAGGAGATAATATATAAGCAGCAAGTTTTATTCGTGGACGGAAACATGGGTTTAGAGCTGGCCAGCGTGTGACGAGGTGGAGGAGGATGAGTGACAAATTTGTCTGTGTTAAAAAAAATCTCTTAAATACAAAAAAAAAAAACACACACAATATAAACACACTATCTTGGACAGGATACATGACAGGATACCACATAACAGCACTACGCCCTCTGTTTTCCTGGCGGGGAATTGCTTTGCAACACTTCCCAGGAGACAGAGAAGAGAGAGAGAGAGAGAGAGAAGAGAGAGAGAGAGAGAGAGAGAGAGAGAGAGAGAGAGAGAGAGAGAGAGAGAGAGAGAGAGAGAGAGAGAGAGAGAGAGAGAGAGAGAGAGAGAGAGAGAGAGAGAGGATTACTCCCAACAGTGCAAGAATTGCCGAAAGTATGCAAAGCCTCATTTTAGACATTTTATCTTATTTTTACTTTAAAAAATATTTTATAGAAGACAGCATTATTTAAAATAAGGTAAATACGTTCAAATACAGTCTAAATCTGCCAATGGGATGAGCAACAGTTGCTTGGCTAGAATTCAAAAGTTTGGAAAACTGAAAACCCATTTTTTAATGCTTATTTCTGATTATAATGGGTCACTCTGAGTGTTTCATGCAGGCTGAACACGAAAATAGCCTCCTACATCTCCTGCATCAGCCTCTGATGGAAAATAGACGGTAAAATCTAGGATTAGAAAATCCTGACAGATCTACATCAGTGTCACTTAACGTTCATGGACTCACCCATTAGGGAAGGCTGTTGTTGGTTAAGTGTCCAGGAAAGAGCAGGGAACGACTCGGCTATTTTAAGCTAACTATTAGCATGATCAACTTCACCACATGGCAGAACTCCTCCAGGCTTCATGACTCCAAAACCTGCCAGCTCAGCTGTAATGTAGGTAGCTGCTAGTTATTGGGAATGGTGCACTGGCATATTTTTTCACAACTTACAACAAATGTATTTCTACCAGAGACCACTGCAAACGTATTGATTAAATTAGTGAACCACACCTTCAAAATTAACAAAAGGATCGAATTTTGGATTTCTAATCAAACAACTGTTGCTTACTCCATTGGCAGATTTTTTTACTCAAAACAAAAAAATTTTGATCATTTAGGAATATTTATCCTATTTTACATAATTCTATTTTTGTAAAGATGATTTTTTTGGGCTAAAAATAAGATCAAATGTCCAAAACTAAGGCTGTTTTTTACTTTTTTTAGAAGTCAGTTTTTGCAGTAAAAGTTTCCATTTTTGTCAACAAACCTGTTCTTGAAATAGGTTCTCCTGAACTTAAAGTGATGAAACCCAGATCTGGACTCCATCCCGTGTATGTGACCGGTTCTCTGACATATTTGAGTATGTTTTAATGGTTGTGGATTCAGGGACTGTTGTGTAAGTTAGAAGGGCGGAGCTTGTCCGTCCTCTGATGTGTCTGTTCTGAGGGGATTTTCTTCAAGGCCATCAAGCGCATCAGGGCCAAGCTTGAGACAGAGATTGTCTGTGCTCATCCTCTGGTTGAGGATTAGGAGATGTGCTAGGGCGATTTGTCCTTATGTAACAAAGAAAGTAAGAACTCCTGGAGGTTACCAGCTGGCTGGGATGTCAGTGCCTCCAAATGCTCCTCCGTTTTGGTAGTTCATGGCTCCAGGTTGAGCCGCTTTATTAGGTGCTTGTTTATTGCTTTGCTTTAGTTTGAGTTATGCTGGTTTGACCGATCTCCAGGGGTTTCTGAGTTCAGCTCTGTGATGTGAGAGGCCTGGCATGCCACAGCTCCGGGATCCTGCTCCATTCCTCCTCTTTACTGATGAAGCCAAGAAGCATTGCACCAAGATTGTCTGGAAATCTGCAGGCAGGTGGAGGGCTTTATTAAAAAATCTGTGTCTAAGAGATTGTCTAATGCTCCATAAAACCCTGAAACTGCTCTCGCAAAACCAGAACACTTCTCTGTACAGCTGCACCTCCAACATTTTACTGTGTGACCTTACGCGACCCTCTCCTACCTTCTCTGGCGTTTACTGTCATTTCCCCTCAGCCCTGGTGTGTTTCTCATCCTCCATATCCCCCTTCTCATCCTATCAGAGAACAGATGCTTAAGCCATTGAGAGGATGTAAATAACTCGCATGTTATTGTGCTTTTATATGCACTTCCAGTGTACTCATAACCTGAAGAATCCAGTTTCAGTTACATTTAGATGATGCTGTGTTTCCTGCAGGACGTCTGGGTAAAGATGACAAATTGAAATTAAATAGGTAAAACTAAATAGCAATTGTGCCATCAACTAACAGAGATTAGACTACTGGTGATGGCTTGAAGTTATGTTGTTTTGTTCGTGAGAGGTGGCAGAAGGGTGTGCATGATGGGCCGGTATACCTGGGCCTTTGCCTTCAGAAGCATTTACTTTGGTGTTTTGTAATGAAGAAAAATCTGAGCTGAAAGGAAGATCATGGACGAACGAATGGTTGGTGTATAAGGATATTCCTTCCAGCATGATCATGTATTGAAATAGTACTAAGTTTAATGGTTTTAAACGCCATTCACATTAGAAATGCACGACATACCAGCATCGACGTCAGTGTTGGCCGATGTTAGGCCTGATTGATACGTCTCCGTCAGCGCAGTTGCTCAGTCACACACACGCATTTCCTTCTAGACCAGTGTTTCCCAACCCTGGTCTCATGAACGTAGTTTTTTTGGGGGGAACAGGGGGGACATGTCCCCCCTACTTTTTCCAGTGCCTATTTTTTTCCCTGCACTTTTTACTGTCCAGAAAACAATATTACTCTATATTAAGTAGACACTGGTTGAGCACTAGGACCAAGTGGAAAACAACCATTTGTGCTGAAGCCTGTTTCCCAGTAGAACCGTCCATAACAGGAATGGGGAACCCTGGTCCTCGAGGGCCAGTATCCTGCATGTCTTTGCATCAACACTTCTGATTCAGTGGTTGAGTCACCTGTTCAGCTGCTCATCAGGCTCTGCAGAAGCCTGTTAATCACCTGCTGATTGAAATCAGGTGTGTTGAAGCAGGGTGGAAATCAAATATGCTGGATAGCGGCCCTCGATGGACCAGGGTTCCCCACCCCTGGTCCATAAGCTTATCTGTTGGCTCTGCTGATACTTGCTAATGTGTGATTAGCCGTTCCTGCCACCTGTGTACTTGACAGTTCTGCATTCCTGACATAGCGTAAAACAGACATCTGCAGCACTTGATGTCCTCCTGAGGAGGTAATGTAAACCAGGTGTGCTGAAGCAGAGACATGGAAACGATTGGGGTCAGTGTGCCCTGACATGAATTGTTACGAAGCAATTCTCCACCAGGACAACAGAGGGCGTAGCGCTTTTGTGATTGTCTTTTTTCCACAATACTGCATTTCCTATTGTGTGTTCATACTGTGTTTATGTAATTCAGATACATTTTAACACGGACAAATTCGTCCCTCAATCTCCACCTCTTCATGCAGTCGCCGCCTCTAAACTCGCGTTTCCCATCATTTCTGTCCACGAATAAAACGTTTGCTGCATATCTTTGTACTTCTTCAGTCACGGTGGTATAAACGTTCATAGCACTGAAAGTCTTCAGTCTGCTCCATGTCTCCCACTAGATGTCTTAGTCACTTAGACAAATAGTTAGAAATTTGGGTATATCTCCATCACCCTCTGCAGGCCTGCTGCGGAGCCCTTGCATCGACATATCATGGGGTTGCGTGTCTCTGTAGCCCTGCAGATGGAGAAGTATAAATCAGGCTTTAGTCATTCGTGGCGGGGGGGGGGGGGGGGGGGGGGGTCACATGGTATTTGTTTGGACTTGTGACAGTGATCATAAGGATTGGGGGTGGTAAATGTCTTTTTTTTCAGGTCTACAGAGGTTTTATGTTTGGTCACCATCTGAAAAGTTTTGAATCAAAAAGTTTGAAACGCTTACAGTTGGAGCCTTTTTGTTTGTTCAGGTTCCTAGAAAGCATCTGCTTTGTCTTTGCAAACATGGTGGGTTAACCTTTGCACTCTGAAAATGTGAGCCAGGCTGCAGCAGTGGTTGGGGATCAGGGTGTGTGAGCCAGCAGAGCACCCAACTGCTCTGTTTTTATACAAACAGTCACATCACAGAACCGGCTTGTGTGTATTTGTGCAACTTCACTCATTCAGACTGTGCTTCACGACGTAAACATTCATCTTTTTTGTGCACCATTAGCAGTGAGTTGCATTTAGAAGAGTGTGCAGCAGATTTATGTTGATGTGGTGAGGTGCAGCCATGTGGCTGAATGTGTTTCCGTACATTTGATGGGGTGCTAAGACCAACGGCGCCTCCTACCAGGATTGTCGGTGGTGGGTCAAAGATGTGTGCGGTCTGCCTTGTCCCAGGGTCTGTGGGGAACTCTGCGTGTGGAATTTCACGTGCTATCACCATGATTACACAAAGCGTTGCCATGGATACACGAGCCAGCACAGGATCAAAGACTGTAGGCCTTTCACAGGCACTCACAGAGATCAGGACACCTTCTCGCTGAGTCATTTTCTTCCATTCTCACCTCAATCAATCAATCAAATTTTATGTATAAAGCACTTTTTATGGTGAAATCAGCATAAATGCTTTAGCAAACACAAACTCATCAAAAACAACCTACACACATCATCAGAAAATTGAAAACATAAACTTTTGAAGTCAGTCATGAACTCAAAAGTGCTCACACACCCTCATGACCGTCATGCACACACGCTCACCGAGAGCATATCATCCTACCCACAGAAAACGGGTCCATCACCAAGGCAAAAACACAAAAAGTCTAAATACGAGTCCGTAAACATGCTTAAAAACTTACAAAAGTTGAGTTAGAGCCTCTTTTAAAAAGCATCAACAGCCTCTGCAGCCCTGAGGTTCTCCAGCTGTTCCACAGAGGAGGACTGTACTGGTGGACTCAAGCTTCTCTGATTGTTTGAGTTCTAACTTTTGGAACAGCTGGTACTGGAGGTGTCAGCGCGCTGCGGAGTGGAGCGGAGGAAAGGCGTGGATCCAGACCGGGGAGTAAACAGGCAGCAGGTAGGAACGGTCAACCAGGATTTATTAAGCACGCTGGACAATGAAACAATGATCCGACACAGTACAAAGAACAGACAGGGTTTAAATACAGGAGGGTTGGGAGCTAAGGTGATTGGGAAACGAGAGGCAGGTGGGAGTAATCAACGAGACACAAGGCTCAACTAAACGGGGAGACATGACCGGGTGTGACAGGAGGACCTGAGTCCATGAGGGCTCATGATGTAAAAACAGATCTGATAAAAAAAAAGAAGGACCAAGACCGTTAAGACATTAGAAAACTACTAAAGGAACCTTAAAATCGATCCTGAAACCAGTCATTTTTTTCTGAGTCAAAAGCATCACTTGTAAGTAAGTAAGTAAGTAAGTAAAGTGTATTTATAGAGCGCCTTTCTCAGATATAAATCACAAAGCGCTGTACAACATGATAAAGATCAGGGCAAATACCTCTAACCAATAAAAACATCCGAAAAACAATAGCAGTGATAAAGTAGAAAATTAAATCATGAGTATAAACAAAGTGAAGGTGTGAACCCGAACAAAGCCATCTATTTGAACATTTAGGGAGGGAACGCCTGGATGAAAAGGTGAGCTTTTAGATGATTTTTAAAGACCTCTACAGTGTTAGAGAGACGGAGATTTGAAGGTAGACTGTTCCAATGTCTGGGTGCAATAGTCTGAAAGGCCCTGTCCCCTTTGGTCCCCCTTGTCCGGATTTATGAACCTGTGGAAAAAATGTGGCGTTATGACTTTTATTCTTCCTCTCTCACTCAGTCACTCCCTCCCTGCTGCTGAACCTCTGTACACTCGCTTCGTCACTCTGTCCTTTGTTGTCCTGAGAGCGAGTCAGAAGGTGATGCTGCTGGGAGGCAGCGATGAGCGCTTTTGGTTCTGGATACAGACCAGCTGTTAGTGTGTGTAAGAGCATGTGTGAACGTCTGGGCTGCAGTCACATTTGCTCACCATGGTACAAAAGGTGTTGGGTGGTGAAAACCCCAAAGTGGCTAACAACAATGCAGGTCCACACTCTGCATGTCTAACAGAACAAAAGATGAGATCTTCATGGGTTTCTTCGCTGCTCGGTTCTAAGGAAAGTTGGAAATATACAGCATGGAAGGCAGAAGTGTGTGTGACAAGGAGGAAAATCAGTTCTCAGAAACCGGGGGAGAAAATACACAGATAACTGAAAGTTTGTTTAAAAGGAAATCCCAGTACGTTTGAGATCAAAACCAAGCTTGTTTGTTGAGACAAAAAGCTGTTGGATTTATTCCGGGAGTGTAAATGAAGTGCTGTATTAACCATGTAAACTTCAAATTGGGCAAAAGGCTTGAAGTATCTGTTGCCCCTAAAGTTTTCACAGCAGAAAAAAGATCCATTGATTACCGTCCGCTTATCGGGTCGCGGGAGCAGCAGCCTAGGCAGAGAGGCCCAGACTTCCCTCTCTCCAGTCACTGGGGCCAGCTCCTCTGTGGTAAACCCAAGGCGTTCCCGAAAAACATAGTCCCTCTGTCGTGCCCTGGGTCTTCTCCTGGTCTCCTAGCTGGACATGCCCAGAAAACCTCACCAGGGAGGCATCCAGGAGGCATCCGAACTATGCCCATGCCACCTCAACTGGCGCCTCTGGAGGAGCAGCAGATCTACTCCGAGCCTGACACCCTGAGACACCCTGCAGAGAAAACTCATTTCAGCCGCTTGTATCCGTGATCTGAATCTTTAGGTTACTACCCAAAGTTCGCGACTATAGATGACTGCACAAAGTTCAAGTAAAGATGTTCTTCAGACTCCAAACTGAGGTCAAACTATTTGTAAGAGTTTAATGTGCTAGAAGTGATTTTTAGTCATGCAGGGCTTGGTGGTTCCTGAAAGGTCTTTATTTCCCTTCATCTGAGGTGCTCTCCCTCCATTCAGGGGCTTTGTTGTGCCGGTTCAGGTGTGAGATGTTTTGATCACGTTCCTGGAGGTGTGCAATGCTGTCAAACTATCAGAGGATCGATTCACAGGGAAATGTTGAGTTTTGAGAGTTAAAACCTCAGACCTTCTTTTCTTCTGTTTAAAGGGACAATGTGTAGTTTTTATCATTAATCTCTGGAAACATCGATCAAAATTTTGTTGAAAATGAATTAAATGTGGACCAGTTGTTGAAAAACATTGGTGGCTTCTTAACATATAACCATAAAAATCTGGTCTAAAATACATGGGAGCGGGTCTAAGTCTCGGGGCGACGCCAAATTAGATCACATGTTTCCTTCTAAGGGAGCTCTTGAGGACAAAATGCATGACTGATTTGTAACAAACTGTTGCGAAACTTTCACCATTCATAAACGTTGTCGTTTTACACATTTACTTCATCACTCATTGCCCCTGATGAAAGGGAGCCTGGTGCTTGTCATTTTGCTGAAGTTTGCACTCCTCAGGGCTTTTTGACCCTAATGGACATCCTTTGGTAAGGTCCAACACAAAAATACTGCTTGCTTGCAACAATTTAGGTATCTACTAGTCCCCAACACCAGGAAAAATACACACCATCACTTTAATTTGTTGGTTTGACCTCATTTGACAAAAGTGAATCATTTTACTTCTCTTTCAAATCATTGTCTTCTCTTCCTAAAAAGGAACATCACAAAAGTCTGTTGTGCCTTGTTTGGGTTGTTGTTTGGTTTAGGCAAAGTCAAGGTCTTGCTGTTCAACATTGTTGGTCTGAGAGAGAAGTAAAATAATCTTTATCAAAGAAGAAAAACAACAATAAACGGAGGAGCAAGACAACAAAGCCCCTAATATCCTTCAGAAAGTAGGTGGCTTGACTTGTATTGAGGCTCTCACTGCAGTTTAATTTGGTACTTTCCCATTTTTCTGTTTGAATTGAGAAACCCCTTGGATGTGTTGTTTTTACAACTAAGATAAATTAATTAATTCAAATGTCCCTGTTTTGTGTTCTTCTAAATAAACTGGGGGGGGGGGGGTCTCCATTAAAAATGATGTAATCAATCAGAGGCTTTGTAATTGATTAATCTTAATTAATCACATTTTAATCATTCAAGACAAATTTCCCCAAAGCAATAGTTTTATTTGACATAACCACCCTAACCACAAAGTCTATTTGATTACTTTGGTCTCATTTGGCCATCGGCTTGAACACTGCGGCCAACTACTTAATATTCTCCCTCTCCTGATAATAACATTTTATTTTCTTTGACATTGAAAGTGCTTCTACTAGTTTACCCATTAAATTAATTATAGATTCACTAGGATAAATACAATAAAGTTTATCTCTTTCTGAATTGAATATTTGCTAAGAAATCACAATGTAGCTATAGAAACATTACTTGGTATATACGCGTGCGTGCGTGCGTGCGTGCGTGCGTGTGTGTGTGTGTCTGCTCTGTCTTCTCAATCCCCAGCGAGTGGTGGTGGATGGCTGCTTATACTGAGCCAGGATCCTCTGGAGGTTTCTTCCTGTTAAAAGGGAGTTTTCCTCTCCACTGTCACCACATGCTTGCTTAGTATGAGGATTGCTGTAAAGACACTGACTATTTAATTGTAATTAATACGTTAAATTCTCACCCCTAAAATAAACACATGGTTGTCTTTTTTTCTAAAATAGGAAGCATACCTAAGTGCTGGTTCCACCGTCTCATCCAGGACCCTCGCTGTGTTTTTTTCTTCAGGTCCTGTTGGTTTTTGCCAAGGAGGACAGCCAGAGTGACGCCTTCTGGTGGGCCTGCGATCGCGCTGGCTTCAGGTGTAACATAGCACGCACACCTGAGTCTGCCATTGAGTGTTTCCTGGACAAACACCATGAGATCATTGTTATCGATGGACGCCACTCACGCTACTTTGAGCCTGAAAAAGTTTGCCGGTGAGTCACATTCTCTGTTGTAGATTCATCTTTGACAGTGTCTTCTCAGCCTAAAGAGAACGTTGTACAACTATTGTCATGAAACAATTTGTAATGAATGGGTAAATTTAAAAAGTTTTACTCAGAATGTGTCAAAAACTATCCTTCAAGTAACTCAATGCATGAAAAGTTGGGTATATTTTGGTGCCATCTGGTGGTCATTGGGAGAACTACAGCTGAACTGTAAATCTGAACACAAAGTTCTTCATGCTGTTTAATTTCTCGTTGCTATTTTTCAACTGAAGTGAAAACTGGATGTTACTGGTCAAAGAGGGCAGCTGAAAGTAGCATTCGTGTGACATGAACTACAAATTCTGAGTGTGTTTGTTGACACGAGGTCTGGATACGGTCTCGGGGGAAATATGTGCACTGGAAGAAACGTTTTTTGTTTTGTCATTTTTTCCACAGTGAAAGCCCCTGGCTTCTTCTCAGAGACTCATGTTGTTGTAGAATTATCCCATTTACTCTCTAACCAGCTGAGTTCACGCTGGTTTGTTCATCTGTCGCTTCTTGCTCTCTTGGCTCGAGCTGGGTACGTACGCATGTGAGGATTTATTTAGGAGGTATTTTTAGGCCTGTTTTCTGCACTCTTTCCTCTTCCTGTCCAGCTTTCCAAGAATATTTAGAACATGTTGCTTTTGTGTGAGTTCTGTTCCTGGATGTAATGCAACATTATTGACTCTGATTGAAGAACAAAGCTATTAAAAGCTGGCTGTTCTTTGCCTTTTTTGTCTTTAGAGAAAGTATTTCAGTACTTCTACCCTGAACATGTGAATGAGTTATGAGTTTAACATAGTTTTTCTAGAGACTCATGCATGTCTGTTGTTGGTATAAGTTATAACCTGTTTAGAGCTCTACACCAGGGCTCTTCAACCTGTGGCTTCTTAAACCATCTACAGTGTCTCTTAATTTCTTTGGCAAGAAATAATATTTAAAAAAATGTAAATAAATAGAAATGATTTAAAATATGCTAATTTGTACTGTTTTGCTCTGAATTTTCTAAACAGAATGACACTAAAGGTTCCAGTAATAATCATGTTTGTATGTATCGTAATTTCCGGACTATAGAGCGCACCTCAATATAAGCCGCACCAACAAAAAAAAAAAAGGTTTTCTACACACACACGCCACACTCGAATACAAGCCGCGGCGCAGCAGCCACATGCAGGTCTCCAGCGCATGTATGGCCATAACATAAGATAATTAGACAGAAAGATGCTACACAGAGGTTTTTCATTGTTGTTTTAATTCAACAAAACAAATTTTAAACTCGGGTGAATGTGCCTGCAAGTTTAGAAAAGAAAACAGCACTGATAGCATTCATATTTCTGGATGGTTATAAAATAAAAACAGAACTGACACGTTATTACCGGTAATTTGCATGTTTAGAAGAAAAGAACAGCGCTGACACAGCATTAATAATCCCTGGATGATTAGAAAATAAAAACTGCACACAAAACATGCCTGGTTAGTAAATAAAACACACTTGCCTACCAGGAAAAAGTCATTCGCTCTCATCTTCCTCTTGCGCACTAAAGCCATTAAAGTCCTCTTCTTCAGTGTCGGAGTTGAACAGCCTCAGAAGAGCTTCGTCACATACCTTTTCTGTGGCGATGTCAGTGTCGCTGTCTGTGTTGCTGTCATCATCCCCGGGTGAAGCTGGCTTGAATGAGTACTTCCTGCTGCCGTCTCCAGCGCCGAACCATGGATTCATTCATGCCAAGCTTACGTGCAGCAACACTGTTTTCCTCCTTTACTGCCAGATCAATGACCTTGAACTTAAATGCGCCAACTATGAACTCATACATAGTTACCATGATGAGGGGTGTAAAGGGTTAATTTACATGTTATTTAATGAACCATGAGACATGAGATTCCATAGAAAATATGAAATCAATCCTATGGATCTTTGGTACTTTTAACCAGAAGATTGGAATGTTTTATTGCAGGGATTACGTAACATCTTCGTATTGACTGAGAGACAACAGAGGAGAGAGCCAAGTTTTAAAAGTTTAAAGATTTATTACTAAACAAATTAAAACTAGACTAACTTTAAACGCTAAATGTATGGTGTAACTAAGGTGAAGTGAGACGGATAATGATGTAGTGTGGAATGTTGCTCAGAACCAGCAAATCCGGAGAAACGATTAGTTCTGATGGGAGTGAAGGTGATGTCTTCGTGCCAAGCTTTGATTCGGAGATTCATAAACACATAAGACGCCATTTTGTCGCTCCACACATACCCTTAGAATGAGACCTCCGTACAGATCCAGAATGCCACGTCCTCGAACCCCTCTTTCGGTGCCGGAGCCGATGAAACAGCGTCAGCAGTACGACAGACTAGTCTTTGGATTGTCTCCAGGTTAAAAGCGACAGTTGGTTGACAGCGTCAGATGGACCTGGAGGGTCAATGAGTTCAGCTTTTATTCTGAAAGCATTGCTTGGTTGGTAAAATGCAACAGATTTTATCCAGCTTGTCGTTGGTTCTTTCAGCTGAAGAGGAAAGTTACGGATTGGCCACTCCGACAACTTCTCTAGAACGCTTTGAACTGGCGTTAAAGATGACGTGGGCATAGTTTTATAATTTGGAAGTTTTGATTTACGGTCGAATGAAAAGATGGCAGATTTACCAAGCACCACCAAAACCACGCCTCCGTCAGATCTGGAAGATTCTGACTGGATCAGTAAAAGCAATGTGTGATGTGGCTTAACCTTACGTGTGATCAGTCCAAGCCCCCACAATGCAGCTCAAAAATTGACGCCAACCCGGAAGTACCAAAAATTGCAGTTCCACCTTCATCCACTGGGGGCTGGTGTCAGAAGCGAGCAAATCCTCATTGACTCCCATATTAAAAATACCAATTTCACAGCAGAAATAAACATGTTTACAGCCTGGTACCAAAACATGTTTTTGGTTTAAATGATCTAGTTTACACTCATGACAACTCTGAGGGGGGTGAATTTTTTTCTCACTCTTCTAATTAAGTGTATTAAAAGCCTAAAATTCTGTATAATTAATGAGCATCCGGCCCACGTGACCACAGAGCTAGCTCCGTGGAAAGGCCTCAGTAGAGCTTCGGTCTGGCTTGGAAACTGTTCCGGGATTTTGAGTCTCTGTGTTTGTGTATTCTTTTTTGGATATCATTTGTGCAATTGTTGGACAAAATGACTTGCCGTGGCATTGCTTGCACCAATAGAGCGTCCAAGGAGTCTCCACTTCATTTTTTTCAGTAAGTAAAATTATATTTATGTATTTTAGGTCACTGCCGAGCTGAGCTTAGATTTTAACATGTACTGTTTAACCATGAAATTTAAATGTAATAGGGTAAAACCCAGTGCATTTAACATAATGCTGCACTTTAGAAAATGGGTTGAAATATAACATGTTGGTGGAGCCATCAGCTTGTGGAGCTCTCGGGAGACCGATGTTTTCCACCCATTTCTCCCCTGCCTGCAGCTCGGCGCATCTCTCTCTGATCGCGGCTTCTGTTAGCTGTGCGGGCTGCCGGCTTTCAGCAGCTTTCGGGAGACCTTTGTGTTCCACCCGGTTTTACCCAGCGGTCAGCCCGGCATATCTCTGACTCAGAAGCTCTGGTGTTGTGCACAGTTAACTCCAGTTGTAGCTAGGTTGCTACCTCCGTTAGCTTAGCTCCCACCTCCGCGTTAGCTTTTGGTTAGCTTCAGGTTAGCTTGTAGCTAGTTCGACCGGGTGTCGTCCGTTAATCCCAGCCTTACAGCCACACCCTCAGCTCCACCTCTCTTCCCTTTTGTGGAATTGTCTGGGCTTATGTTTATGTTTTTTACATTTATTCATTTAGCAGATGCTTTTATCCAAAGCGACTTACAATTTATAACCTATAGGGCATGTTGTGATCTGTGGGGGAAACCGGAGTACCCGGAGGAAACCCACGCATGCATGGGGAGAACACGCAACTCCAAGCAGAAAGGCCGCAGCCGAGTTTCGAACTTGCAACCTTCGTGCTGCGAGGCAACAGTGCTAACCACTGCGCCACCATGCAGCTTGACGGAACCTGTGACACGGTCAAAATGGCGGTGGTGGCCACCTCCCATTTAGCCTCAAAAACGTGTTATTGGAGTCTATGGAAATGAATTGTCCAGGATATATGTCGATGGATCAGTCTCTAGTGGAAACATTTAAAGTTATATTACTTAGTATATTCTGTAGGATTTTAATATCAAGTAATTAACATTTTCATTTCACAAAATGGTTCACATTTTATTATTGACTAACACTTTGTTTGATTAGCTTATTAAAAATAGAGTTCTTTGATTTATTAAAAAGAGAGTCCTTTGTCTTCATTCTTCTCTTCTGCTGGAAAGGAAAACAGTTTGGAAGCAGAAGCATGAGACCTTATCTCATGCAGATTAGTTCTTGCTGAGCAGAGGGGGAAATGACTTTTAGGTGGAAAACAGTCCTTTCATTCTGTTACAGGGGGTATGGATTTGAAAAAATGTCTTCGTCATGCCGGCTGCTTGCATGGGCTAAATTTAAATGAGCACTTTCTTCGATTTACACTTTTGACTTTCACCTGTTTCACTTTCTGCTAAAGCGGCCCCTGGCAGGTGAAGGAAATCGTCAGTAAAGCCGCATCTCATAATAAGCCGCATGGTTCAACGCGTGGGGAAAAAGTAGCGGCTTATAGTCCGGAAAATACGGTAATCGGAAGGTTGCAGGTTCGATTCCGGCTCCGGACAGAGAATTCTGCTGTTGTGTCCTTGGGCAAGACACTTAACCCACCTTGCCTGCAGGTGGTGGTCAGAGGGACCGGTGGCGCCTGTTCTTGGCAGCCTCGCCTCTGTCAGTGTGCCCCAGGGCAGCTGTAGCTACATCGTAGCTCATCACCACCAGTGTGTGAATGTGTGTGTGAATGGATGAATGAAACACTGTAGTGTAAAGCGCTTTGGACTCCTTACTCTGAGAGGCGCTACACAAGTGTGCGTCATTTATCATTTATTTTACATTTTCCATAAATACCAACATCCCAAAAATCCATACTTTTTGTGAAGGTTTTATGTTTTTATTTTCTTTGTTTTAAAACAGACAGAAACATTGGTGCAAAGCAAATGGAGACAGTGGTAAAGTTGTGTTGCTGTTATCCAATCAGAGGAGAGATGTTCAAATATCAGGAGATAAGACTCCAAATCCTGTCGTCTTAAGCTACGTTCTCCTACATTTCTGACTTCTCTGCACTGAAACACGTGCACCAGAGCTTTTTTTCCCCAGAATACAACTAGTAGAGATCAATGCATATGTATTAAAATGGGGCAGCATAGCTCAGGAGGTTGAACGAGATGTCCAGTAATAAGAAGTTTGCAGGACAGAGAATGATGCTGTTGTGTCCTTGGGCAAGACACTCAACCCATCCTTCCTGCTGGTGGTGGTCGGAGGGACCAGCGGCACCAGCGCCCAGCAGCCTCCCCCCATCAGTGAATGCCAGGACAGCTGTAGCTATGTTGTAGCTCATCACCATTAGTGTGTGAATGTGTGTGTGAATGGATGAATGATACACTGTAGTGACTCTGAAAGGCACCATACAAGTGTGAGTCATCATCATTTAATATGAATGAAGGACGGTTTTAGAAAAGAGGATGACTTCTGACTTTAATATCAGATTTCTAACATAATTCCCAGAATTCTGAGAGAGAAAGACACTTTTTTTCAGTGACTTCAAACCCGTTGAATTTAGAAAGATTATAAATTGTCTCGTAATTGTGGCTCTAAACACATTTTATTAAGACGGACTGAGAAGAAAAACAGATCTTTGGATTGTGAAGGTCGCAGACCCCTGATCTAAACCCAAACCATGTATGTCATCTCCTCATCACCAGTTTGGCAGCTCCTCTATGTCTCCTCTGGCCTCTGAACAATATAACTTTCTACTTCTTTCTGCCCTTTATCTGTACCCTCCATGGGGACCTCCGCCATCATCTCATCCATCTGTTGTTCTTTTACTACTCCATCACTGTCTACTCAGACCCCGAGACCACATTCCCATGGATCCTGCCAGCAGTCTGGATGGTGTTGTGGCTCGGCCTCCAAAGCATGAGCTACATTTGGTGTTTTTCTGTCAATCACAGATGAGATCACTGACATCCTGGCCACCTCTGTGTCCAGTAGTTGATTTCAGCACACCACTCTGCAGCTCCGTCTGAATAAAATGTGTATGTTTTCTCCTTTCAGGATGATCCGCGCCACAAAGCCTGGAGAAAACACAGTTGTTCTAGCTGTTTTGCCACAAAAGTAAGCTTCAATGGTATCTTTATTTAAAATGATTTGAGTTAAAGTGTAAAAACTTTTAACTCTATCAGTTAATTCTTAGAGATTTGGTCTTAAATGACATTAAACTGTAAAATTTAGTAAGACCTGTACATGCTGTGCTCATTAGAAATAAGCCTATGGAAACATCTACTTGGCTGTTCTTTGTAAAAAACATTTTGATGGACGCATGCCTTTAATTACAACACATCAAACACTCTGAAGGTCTTTAAAGTGCATCAGAGGTCTTTGTGTTTTTCTCCACAACAACTCACAACAGGTCTTTATGTCCTCCACGTAGGGGTGGACCTCTGTAATTACGACTTTGATTGCAGATGCAGATGGTAATAATTCTTTTCTGTCATTACACAGACTGCCTGACCAAGAGGAGCCATCTGTTCTTCCTCTCCTGTGTGCTGGATTTAGCCGAGTAAGTCTGACCGCTTGCCCTGCTCTCGTCTTCTGCTTGAGTTTCACATGGTGGCCATTTTGGAAGTAGAACTTTTTCTCAGTGTTGTTTAACTGTGTGAAAATGAGGGGGAGGGTTCAAGCGATTTCTGACTGCTCTCTGCTTCTTCTTCAAACACCACTCAACCCTGTTTGGCCCCCAGAGGTTTGTGGAAAACAGCAGTGTGTCTGCATGCTACAATGAGCTCATACAGATAGAACACGGAGAGGTGCGCTGCCAGTTCAAACTCAGGTACAGCAGAGGGAATGTTTAACTTACTATAACACTACACACAAGGTACAGAACATCCACGCACACTGAAAAACAATACATGTAGCATGTTCTCTGTACTAAAGCTGCTAATTTGGAGTTACTCCTTCACAGGGCTTGCAACTCTGTCTTTACTGCTTTGGAGCACTGCCAAGAGGCTGTGGAAATCACCAGTGAGGACCACATAATTCAGGTGGGAATATCACAAAAACCCTTTTACTTTCCAAGAGAATAAACACACACTGATAAACAAGAAGGTGTGTTTGTTTTACCTTAAAATAAATAATGTGTTTGTAACCCCCTTGTGCTACAGTTTTGAGTCCAACCGAGACAAATAGGGGCTTGTCCGGGATATACTCCCCACTTTTATTTGCGGACTGTTGTAAATTGTTGCTTGTTTTAATTTCACAAACTTGATTTTAAGATCAAGTTATTACACACAAAGCTGGCTGCAAATGATACTGGCTGGTAGTTCAAAAGGAATGTGGTCGTTAATGTACAGAAGAGATTACCGTTTTATTCAAACAAATGTTAGAATATTGACATTAAGTCTGTCTTTTTTAAAGTATTCTGTTTTGCATTCCAGTATGTGAATCCATCATTCGAGAGAATGATGGGCTACCACAAGGGAGAGCTGATTGGGAAAGAACTGACTGAACTTCCCAAAAGTGACAAGAACAGAGCGGACCTGCTGGACACGATCAACACCTGCATTAAAAAAGGAAAAGTGAGTTCTGAGTCCATCTCAAACTGACCAGACATGAAAGGACAAGTTAATTGAGAAAACTAGTTTTTCCCTTGTTATTTTTGAAATGTGATCAGTCACACAGAGTTTCACGTACAGGCTGAGCGTGAGTCTTCTACTCCCATTTCCTGCAACAGCCACCAATATAAAAAGGGGAAACACACATCATAAATGTCAAATTGTCATTCATGGACTCACCCATCTTGGCTCACGTTGTTGATTTATCATTCAAAAGAGAGCAGAGCACATAATGGCTAGTAGGAGCTAACCGTTAGCATTACCAACTCCACCACACAGCAGAACTCCTCCAGACTTCCATAATAGTGAAGATGACACATCAACATTTCAAAATAAACTTAGTTAGTGGTAGAGTTGTATCATTGTTAGCCAATCAGAGGCAAGATATCCAAATGATCAGGAAATTAAACTCCAAATCCTGCCATCTTCAGCCCTCCTCTGCTCTGGTTCACTTCTACTCTCTGAAGCAGGAGCACCAGTGCTTATTTTCTCACAGAGATGGACTCACAAGGCATTCATTTATACTAGAGTCTACAGCAAATGTGTTGAAAAAATGTGTTAACCGTGTTATTAATACAAGAGTGTTTCACAGTCTGATTTCTTTGTTGTATCTGAAGGAATGGCAAGGAATTTACTATGCCAGAAAGAAGTCAGGCGACAGCATTCAACAGGATGTGAAAATAGTGCCTGTCATCGGCCAAGGAGGGTAAGCTTTGTTTGAATGATTTCAAGTCATCACTGTGAAACAAATCAGATGCCTTTGAAAGACATTTTCCATTTCTGCACAGAAAAATTCGACACTTCGTGGCCATTAAGAGACCTCGAATGGACAACAACAATCAGGTAAGTAGTTTATGCCTAGTTTGCGCCTAAAGCTGGTACATTTCAGTAAAAGCAGTAATAGTCTGCACTAAGGTTTCTATTTTCCATCCCTTACGCCGGTGACACACCGGCCGCCGAAGCGCCGGGAGGCAAAGCGCTCACGAAATTCGGCCACTGCTCACTGCTCCTCAGTTCAGACCAGACGCTTGTTTCTCCGCTCTGGTCGAGATGCGCCTCATAGATTTTCTTTTATCCACTTGGCGTCCTCCATTTCCTCCCTGCCTTTTCTCTGCTCTTTTCCTCTACACCCCCCTGCCCCTTGCTGTTTGTGTGTGTTTGTACGTGTGTGTGTGTGTGAACCTATGGTGTGAACCAGCTGTTAATAGCTGGCCTACGACTTTCTGCCTCTCTGTCCTGTTTGCTCCGGTTGAACGACACCCAAAACCACACCCCCTTCACGTGGTCACACACACACAAGTTCGCTGTGTGTGTGCGTGCGTGTGTGTGTGTGTGTGTGTGTGTGTGTGTGTGTGTGTGTGTGTGTGTGTGTGTGTGTGTGTGTGTGTGTGTGTGTGTGTGTGTATTTGTGTGGTTTTTAAGCAGTGTCTGTTTACGAACATATTTGACTATCGCGGAATTGTATTTTGAAATGCTTTATGTTGTTAAATTTACCGGCCTGCCTCTTATGTCTAGGTTTGACTTCCTGTCAGAATTGACGCAGTTCACCTGCGGCTCATGAAAAAAACAGAGCAGACGCCGAAACGATCGCTGCATGGCACGTGCCGGCGCGTGCCGACGCGCGGCGCTTCAGCGGCCCATGTGATCTATAGAATAGGATAACAAGGGCGCCGAATGAAGGCGGTCCCCGTTTCGCGGCGCTTCGGCGGCCGGCGTGTCCATGGTGTTATCGGTCGGCTCATGGGTCCCCGGACGAATGAAAAAATGAATGCAAGTCAACGGTGCTAAAAGAGCTATTTTTTTCTCCGCTTAGCCTCACGCCCTAAATCACACATATGTTGTATTTTAATTTAAATGAAAAGTAATAGTGTGTTTCGACCATGCCAGTCAGCTTGTAAAAATTCTTAATTATCGTCACTACAGCTCAGACGCCGGCCTGTTGCACATATGACATCATCAAAGAATCTCCTCTTCCCTAGCATAGCTGCTACTTACCACATGGCCAGATAAATAGTGGTTCTTTCCTCCTAAAGGAAGGATTCTGTTAGGTGTAGAGGTCGTAAGTGAGCAGACAGTAGTTACTTTTCATCTGAACTTTATTACTGCTTAGGGTACAAGCACGTCAGCAGCCATACTTCTCTTCTTCTTCTCTCGGTCTCATCATCCAGACCTTACACTGACCCCTAGTGGTTACATAACACAACAGATTCTAAACTCGCTAAACTTACAGCCATCAGTCCTAACTGTCACACGAGGGCACACAGGAATAAATCCAAATGCAGGAGGCAGGATGACTTGATCCAGATCAGTCTTTTAATAGCAAAAAATCACCACATAAGTGGGAAACAACAATGCTTAACAGGTTACTGGAAGCAGAACTATTATGGTATATGCACAGACTAGAACCAGTAGTCCAAAACGACGCCACACCGTTCAATGGAAAGTGGTTGCTTAAATAGGAAGTGAGGCAATCGGTAGATTACAGTCAGCTGTGGCGTTCCCCAGTGCTCCACCGAGGGGCGGGATGCTCAGGAGGAGCCACAGCCAACATGCAGAACAGAACAAACAATATTAAAAAACAGTCAGAAGGTGTGGATCATTGTAGCCTGACCAGCCACACCCAATTACTCTTCTATTCAATATAATCCCCTGAGAATTCTAACCAATGAGCGCTGAGCAGCATGCGTCACACACACACCGCAACGCTGAGTTTCTCATAAACATGGCGTCTGAAGCAGAGTTCGCTGCAGCTCTTTCCTCTGTGA